GTCTGGTTACGTATTCACTCTTAATGGGGCTGCGATTAGCTGGAGCAGCCAACTTCAACGTACTGTGGCGGCTTCGTCGGTGGAGGCTGAGTACCAAGCTACAGCGGCGACTGTTCGTGAGGCTTTGTGGCTTCGCAAGCTGATGGTTGATTTGGGCTTGCCTGAGAGCGCGGTGAAAATCCAGATAGACTCCCAGGGGGCGCTTAGCTTGGGAAACAACCCGATTACGTCTGCTCGGTCGAAGCACATCGACGTGCAGCATCACATAGTGCGTGAGAGGGTGAATAGCGGTGAGGTGCAGTTGGAATACTGCCCTACGGAGTGGATGGTTGCGGATGTGCTAACGAAGGCTCTGGGCGAGGTGAAGTTCAAACGTTGCCGAGATGCTATGGGCCTTGTGTGAAGTGTGCAGATGAACTTGGTACTCGTTGGGATACGGCCCGAGGGGGCGTGTTGAGGAAACGGTCCTCTCCCAACTCGTGTGGTTGTCGACCAGGGGATTTGACCCCGGGTCTGCGCCTGACTAATGGGGAAGACTTACCCCAGAACCTTATGGGGCTACCGATGCATATCCGGTAGCTAAGTGATAGACATTAGGGCACCGTCTGGACGGCGCAGTGAGATCACGGAATGTACGTGCAGTTAGATCGCGGAATGTACGAGTTTTCCGCTAGCGCCGGTATTTAGGGCGGTGACTGCGCCTAATAGTTTATCTCACAACGATCGGTATTCCTACCAGGAATCTCCTCAAGTCCTGCCGAACGCTAACAATACTCTTTGCATTACTTGTAACAGTTTATCGTGCTAAATATCTTCGCCACCGGCAATCCTTCCGAAATAACAATCAGCGTTAGCCGTCACCGTCGCCAATTCTTCAATAGATTCATACCCAGGTGGTTGCTGCATCCACAACTCCTCCTTCAGCTTACCATTCAGAAACGCAGTAGACACATCTAGCTGATGTACCGTCATGTTCCGCGCTGCGGCAACTGCTAGTAAAGCACGTAATGACGAACCACGTGAGT